CAAAGCCAGCCATCCAAGGACTAAAACCCCTGAAGCCACAAGCCAAATAAACCTTTCCTCCTGTAAGTAGCAGGTGTCAGGTATTTTGTCCCTGCAACTGGACGTGAACTAATAGTTTCTTCACTTAGAAATGGATTGTGATGGTGGTTGCATGGCTCTGGAGAACATACTAAAAACAATTTAATTTTCTATTTTAAATGGATGGTATGTCAATTATATCTCAATAAAGCTCTTACGCAAGTTAAAAGATGACTAAATCTTGGAATTCAACAAACACTTGAAGAAACATGACTAATACATAATGCTTATGATAGCCTTGAGAATAATGCCTGTGAATTTCCACAGTCAAAATTGGAAATAATTGAAATGTTCAGCATAAGTAAATTCAAGGCAAAAGACACTCTACAAAATTGTTTACTATCTATGACAGATCAAGCATTGACATTTTTAATAAAGGTGAGAAAAATGTCCTAGTCCTATCTTTTCTCTCCCGCATTCCCAGGGCTGGAATGCAGGCCTTTGTGCATACCACCACTGAGCTCTATCTTGAGCCTTTCCTGTTAAATTGCATGGAACTTTTCCATCTTTTCCTGGGTAACACATAGCATCTACTTTCTGTACAACTGTCAGATTGATAATTATATCCAAGAAAAAAAAACTAAAATGAACTCTAGTTTAGAGTGGTTGGGTTTACTCTAAATTAATTCTACCTATTATCATCTAAACTCTTGGTGCCAACTGCAAAATTGTATAATTTCTCTTGCAACCTCTATCTGTTCCTCCTTACAGCAGCTGATGTGACTCTTTGTTCTCTATCACTCTCTACCTTGGCTTTTGCCTAACCACTTGAGCAAACTTCCAAATCTTGAGGTTTCCCAGTTTACATTTTTCACTCATCAATCTGCCTTTATTATTCTTTAGCCTATGATTTCTTTTAAGAAACTGCATCTTCCCAAGGCTACTGATAATCTTCACTCCATTTATTATTTCTATAAAAGTGAGTTTTCCTCCTACATTATAAACAATTTACAAAATTTCTAACCCTTTAAACAAAACCTATGTATACCATTTCTTGCTTTTGTTATGCCCATGCAAAGAACTTTTACATCACCTGTATTGCTAAAACATTAGTCCACTGATCTGGCTGTCATCAGAATTGTTCTTCTAGGGCTGGCGAGATAGCTCAGCAGTCTAAAGCGCCTGCTTAGGCAAGCTTAAGCAGATGCAGGGAACCTCAGTTTGATCCCCAGCACCACATGCCGCACCAGCCCTGCTGTTAGGGCAGGCTGAGCTGGAAAAAAAAGAAAAGTATCTTCCTAAACACTAAATTCATAGCTTTTTCTTAATCCTTCATTCCCCTTGAGTGAGATACATTACATGGGTTGTGCTCTCACTCTTTACCATGGACAAGAATTTTTGGATTAAATTCTTAATCACAATTTTTCTCTATAATATAACAAACATCTACCCTCATGGTTCCTATGAAACAAATAAGATAAGCATCTTCCATGCTATCCCACATAAAAGATGTAACAAATAAAATGAATGTTCAAATTTTAAAATACTTATGATAGTAAAAAACACTTTACTTTAATCCTGCTCACAACACTTCCCTTCCCCTTGCTCCAAACACACTTCTCCCATCATTTTCACCACTTTCTGAAGCAGCTCTAGAAGTTCTCTATTACATCTTTAATTGCACTGCAGTGGCTTCTGGTTGTGCTGAACACTTCCCTACCACAGTCATTTTGACTCTGGGGAAGAGCCAGAAGTCACATGACGGCTGATCCAGTAAGTAAGGTGATTAAGAGGCATTGTCATGTTTTTAGGAGGCTGCTTTTCTATTGGATGGCATTGGGTAGTGGCATTCGCTGTATTTTTTTATCATACCTCATAAGGACACTCACGAAAAAGGACTTCCAGAACTGGATTGGAAAGTGGCAAGAATGGCAAATCTATGGAGCAGCATGTCTTTTACTATAATAATTATTTTTTTTCAAGTAAGCTCACAAAGCATTTTTTTTTTATCAGTTCTTGCATGTATTTTAGCCCTAAGGATGGAAATGTACCATACAAGGCAGTGCATTTCTTAAGGATTAAGTATGCTGGCTGGCTGGCTGGAATCAGAATCTGTGGTCCAAATCTTGTCTATTTACTACACTGTGTGAAATCAGCAATATACTTAGCCACTTGATGCCTCAGTTTCTTATCCATAAAATGAGAATAATGATTATAGGACAGTTATATGATTGAGGTAAGCAGAAAGAGATGAATATCTGTTATTTGACTTCAGGGAAATTACTAAATTATCTCAGCCTCAGTTTTCTTAACAAAATTGAATGTAAACAGGTACAGATATATAACATATTGATTAGCATAAAGTACAGAAATTGCAATTTCTCTTTTTTTCAAAGCACATAAAAATAGCTGTCTCTTACCATGTTGTTCTCCTTCACTTTCTAGACTTTGTTCCACTGATCTCAACGGGTGACTGCACTGAAACAGTTTCTGCTTTCCAAGTCTGTAGTTTCCTGCTCAAAGCCTTCAATGACTCTGTTCCTAACACTTGCCAACTAAAGTTTAAGCTTCTCAATGTTCAAAAGCCTCTAAATTCTTACCCAATGCTATGGTGCTAATCTTTCTTTTCTCCAGTCATACTGAGGGTCCTAATCCACTGGTTCTCAAAACTGGCTGCACAGCAGAATCATCTGAGAGAAATTTTACAATATATACTCAGAGCCCAGCACATACAGATAGAGTCTAACTTCACTGATTTTAGCTGGGGTGTTAGTAGTTATGTATTTTAAAACTTCCCACGTGATATTATATAAGAACCACTCTTCTATTCAGACTGCTTTGCCTCCTTACCCCTAAAAATACCCTGTATTTTCCTCAAATGCCCTGCTGCTCACTGTATGTGATTCTGTTAAGATGGGGACTCCTCCTTAGTCTCTCTTTATCCCAACATAAGAAAATGTTTTTCTTCCTCTGAACTTGTGTGGTATTTTACTGTAATATGCTTCACTTGCTCTTGCATAATAGGTATTTGTGTCATATGATTAAGAAACAGATACTCCTTCCCTAATCATTTGAAATGATACACTTCAGCCCAGAAACCACTGGGCCAAGGAGAAAGAGGGATGAGAAGGGAGAGAACACAGAAACCTGCAGAGTACTCAAGAGTAACTGAGATCACAGGATCCCATTCTTTCAGCTATGAAATCATGAGACTTCAAGAATAAGATGAATTTCATTACACAAAAGAAAGCAAGGATAGCCTGGGATTTTTGTTTTGTTTTGTTTTAGCCATGAATTACACTGTTTAAATTTAGACCTTTATTAAAAATTGGCCAAAAGAGGTTCTCATTCTAACTTTATGAGTAAATGAATAATTTGGCAAATATTAAATAACAGAGAATAAAGTTAGTTCTCACATTTCTGAAACAGTAAAATGAAGAACTATACAGCACTACAGTGCTTTTTAACTTAAGTTTCATAATATTCATTGATTTTTATTTTATTCATTCATGTTCCTATTAATTAACTATATTTCTAAAATTTGAGGAAAAAGTTAAATTTCAGATCAAAAATCAAATGGGAGAAAGGAGTACTTATTTTCTCAGTCATATTTATTTTGTTTGATGATGGCTTTTATCTAATTATAAATAAGCAAAAAATTATGCTAATTCTTTATTTGTTCTCCTTAATTACATAGAATGGTTGACATGTTTCTCTTCAAAATTCATAACACCTTAAGAAGTTATAAAAAAGAAATAACAGACCAGAAAGTGATGATACGTTAGTGGCTTATAAGTCTCACCTGACATTAAATCTGTCCAGCATTATATTATATTATTTTATTATATTTTATTTCATTTTATTTTATTTTGAAATGGTCTTACTATGCAGCTCGGGCTGGCCTTGTGTGCTCATTTTGTAGCCCCTAACCTAAGCTGGTCTCGAATTTGCAGTGATCCTACTGTCTCAATCTCCAAAGTGCTGGGATTGAGGTGGGTGGGGGGTGTTGCACAGCATTTAGGGCTGGGGATTGAACCTGGACCTTGACGCTTACCAGATTGGGGGTTGCTTATGCCTCACCTATCACCCCACCCCTTCTCCAGCATTTTAAAGAAAATTATGCAGGTTAAAAGTAACATGGGAAACCTCACTATATTCTCTAAGCAAATATTTCAAATCACTATATTTTGTAATTCTCCTCACAAATTCCATACTGCCTCTCAGTAAGTATATAATATCCCTATTTTAAGAGACTTACTAATCTTTCTAGAAACGTTAGTCCTAAAATCCCTAATATCATATTACCATTCTAATGTCATATTAATTATTACTATACTCTCTTTAAAGTGAATTTTTTAAAAAAGGTCCAGCCAAATAGCTCAGCGGATTAAAGCTCCTGCAAGCAGGCACAGGGACCAGGAGGTTCGAACCTGGGCCTGATCCCCGGGCCTGCCACGTGAGCCCCGCCCCTGGGCATGCTGAGACAGCAATTGAGACCTGGCGTGGTTGCGCACACCTATAACCCCAGCACTTGGGAGGCTGTAAACAGGAGGATTACTACGAATCTGATCTAGTAGTGAGACCCTGAACACCCTGTAGACCCTTTCCTTAAAAAAAACAGGACAAAAAAAAAAACAGAAAGAAGAGAAAAACAAAAAAAAAACTTCTCTTCTTGAGAAGTTCAATGTACTGGGAATGGAACCCAAGAATGCCTGGCTTGAAAAATCCATGCCCTTGGTATTATGGCACCTTGAAAACTGTTGAAGATTCTTGAATTGGAAAATACTTACCTTAACCTCTACAGTACAGCCATGACAAATATAATGTCATGAATTATATTCTAATGAAATATTAAGCACAAAGGGTATGTCATCCCAGCACTCTAAGAGACTGAACCAGGACTACTGCAAGATCAAGCCCAGCCTGGCTAACTTAATAAGAACATGCATCCAAGAACAAATTACAACAACAAATATACTTACGCATTCCTGAGCATTCTCTATCACCATCCCACACATTGGAAACAGCATGCCCCGTCAGCAGGAGGTTAATTAAACTTTGGCTATTAAGAAAAAGTAACAAGTAATTAAAATACGAATAAAACAGGGTTTAAGTATTCCTTTGTTAATTATTAAAGTAACGATTTTTTACATTAAATTATGGTAGGAAACAAATGTATGATAAATGTATGATGTATAAAATTTTCCACTTTTATATTGACTTTGTTAAACAAAACATGAAGTTATCATTACAGATGTATCTACTATTTTACATAATCATACAACTTTAAGGTACTAAATTTAAAGGGATCAAAAATAAATGCTTTGATAATCTACTTAATATGTTTAATAAACTTTACAAATACATACACAATCGTTAATGTTGTTTTTGATGTAAGATATGTAAATTTAAAAAGGACTCATGTATAAGGTACGTTAGCTATCTCTGTTCTTTTGATTTTGATAAAAATAAGCTATGTCAGGACTAAGAGAGACAGTGATCCCAGAGGAAAACAGGCTCTATTTTTTTTTCTTCTAAAAGAAAAATATTATTTAACACACCTATAATATTCAAATAATGGAACTTAACAAAAAAAGGGTATACAGATGAATGTCCATTTTGTATCTGTGTATTCAAAGTGGTTAGGATAGATATATAGTTACATTCTCATAATGAATAGAGTGATTTGTTCTAATGGTGTTTGTAGATAGAATATCATGTCTGCATCTTGTACAGCAATTAACCACTGGGAAGAATGTATGCAACGTGTTAATTATTGAAACTGTCCTACCAATTTGATTTGAAACTGTCTCATTGCTATTTATCAATAAAATTATGGAAAAAAATAAATAAAAGAAAAATATTTAAAATAGGTTAAGAATATATTTCTCAGTTGAAATAAGTAAATGTTAACTTTTAAAAAATTTCATAAATGAAACAAAGCAGTTTTGTAAAAATACTTCCCACTACCTTAAAATACCAGAAAAGTGCAAAGCATATATAAACTAAACTGGAAGTTAACATATAAAGCAAGCAATGCATAAAGCACAAAATATCCAAACCTGTACTTATTAGGTTCCCAACTATTCTGTCAAGAAAAACTACCTGACTCACTTGCATTTGATTCCCCCCTTTTTAAACAATACTTAATACATGAGCATAGAAAAAAAAAAAAAAAAAAACTTACAAAGAAGTGAAGAGATTAGCACAAAAATTTCTTTTCAATGAAGACAAATTAGTAGTATAAATAAAACAAATTAACATACACATTAAAATATTTTTTAAACAGGATAATTTGGGGAATTACTTGAAGTTCTCACTACTTCTTAAGTATGTACTGTATCTTCCACTTTACATTTCATTGGTATATGTACTTTGAGTTCCTCATATAAAAGAAACCATGGAATATTAGTTTGTGGGTCTGACTTATTTCACTTAACATCATGGCTTCAAATTGCATTCAATTTCCTACAAATTACACAAGTTTATTTTTCCTCATGGCATAGTAGTGCTCTTGCATATAATTAACACATTTTCTTTACCATTCATCTGCTGATAGAAATACCTACTGTTCCCACAATCTAGCTATTGTAAACTGCACTGCCATACACATGGGTTTGCACGTATCCTTGTAACGTGAATATCTTAACTTTTGGGAAGACACCCAGAAAGGAGATATCTGGGTCAAGCAGAATCTCCATTTTTAGTCTTTGTGCATTATCAAATCGAGGTCTAGGACCAAAGCTATCAAACAGACAAGAGGTTTCAGTCACCTGCCATGTCCGTACACAGGATCTATTAAAGGCTCACTTGCATCTTCAATTTCATTTTTTATGTTCTCAATACCCTGCAGAAAGCAAAAATTCATTGACTTAAAGTACAATTTAAATATGTGTCAAAGGAAAAAGTTTGACTTCAGACAGTATATCTAATAGGATATTCAACAGGCTATAAGATACACAAAAGATGGACATTTGGAGGAAGGAAGGAAGACTGAAAGTGTACACACTGACATTAGCCATATGAAGAGTGACAGATCTGACAGAGTGAAATATCCATAACAAAGAAGTACACAGAACACAGAGACTGAAATTTCTAGAACACTAAAATTCAGAGGGGGACAGAAAAGAGCAAAAGATACACATAAAAAAACAAATGAGGCTACTGCAAAAAAGCAACAATATTGTAAAGAAAATAAATAAAAATAAAAAGAATAAGCTGATTGTTTATCAAAAAAGGAAAGGATTAGGGGTTAGAAAGGGTTCCCAGAAGCAGTTAAAGAGTTTGAGCTCCAGACATTGCTAACATCACAGAAAATAAAATTTTGGACAACTGGCAGCATTTTGTAATTACATTATTGATAAGCTCATAGTCTAGAAGATCAGAGGTGGAAGTAAGCTGGAAAGGGTAATAAGTGAATGGAGAGGAAAAAGGAGTCAGTTCCTGATTATTGGCATAAAAGATCTTTATTCTGAGTTTTAGAAGTAGCAAAAGGAATACAATAACTCAACACAACACAGTAGGAAAAACTACTAAATTAACAAAAGCAAAAGAAACTGCTTAAACAGACCTTTGTTAATAACACAGAATACAGAAACAGCAATACTCCAAATTTGTTTCCCCACATGGAATACTGGTCTGAAACAGCATCTTTTAATTCTGATAAACTTCTGAATGATTGTTTTCTGGGGGAGAAAAAAGAATTAAATATTAATATCATAATGAGATGGGCAACATTCATAATGGGAAAAATTTAAATTATTTTAGGCACTAACACACATACAAATGAGAAATTTTTGAAACATCTCAGATTTTCAAATACAAATTTAATCATGAAAAGTAAAACCTTAGCTCTCATTACTACCATTGTAAACCATGTTCACTGTTAAGAGAAGGGCTACTTGGCAGGGAGCTCTTCATCCCTTAAGAGAAATGCCTAGCATCAAGAAATTCTTCAATAACGTACAGCTATTTAAGGAACACAATGGCCCTCATCAAAGAGGTCTTTAACAATCAACAAAACATTTATCTTTTAAAGTCTGAAAAGTATTTTCAAATATCTGAATGCTCACACTATTTTATGTATTTGTGGCTTTTAAAGAAACTGAAGTTAACAACTGAAAACAAATGCCACCTATAATCTATCAACATAGTCATACTTACCTTTTATCTTGGACTAAAAATAAATTCTCCACTGAAAACATGGGCACTTTTAACAAAAACGACAGCATATTTTGGGAAAATTTTAATGTTTATCCCAGCACATATATTCATATTCACCCAGGACAAAAAAAAAAAAAAAAAAAAAAAAAAAAGTCAAGCTAAAATGCTTTATTTCCATTGTATTGAGATTTTCCATTGAATTGAAATGCTTTTCATTGTATTGCATGCTTTTAATGTTTCTTTAAAAGTGTATTTGGGTAGTTATTTTAGCACTAGAATAATTAAACGTACATTTTTTTTTTTTTAATTTGAAAGCAAATCAATTTTCAAGCAAGGGATTTAAAATTCAGGTTTAAGTAGCACAGTACTATATCAATCTAAGAACCTTTCTATAGTATGAACAGACTCAAAATGGCAATGTGTCCACAAGGTAAGTATTTTAAATGTTCCAATGTTACTTACTGAATTAATGCATGAAATCGCTCAAAGCCAAGCTCTTCGACAGCCAAGGCAGCTATACATAAAAGACACTTTTCAGCACTACACACGGCAAATAAATGACACAAGATACACACAGCAGGCTGTAAATACTTTCAAGCAATCAAAACTCCCTGTTTCCTTACGCCCTTAAAATTCTCAGTTTATTTTTAACTTTACTGTAGCATAAATTTGTATTTCAAAATCTTAGTTACCATGGTTATAACCCAAATGGATATAATACTGAGAATGTAGAAGGGTTACTGAAGAACAAATATTTCTTTTCAATTCAGGTATGCTAGGATAGCTTATGGGAGGAGAAACTATTGACAATCAGTGCTTCATACATCACTGACATGTGTCTGGCGCTTTTAAATAAAGTAAACTCATCATAGCTAATCTTCCTTTACAATGTAAACTCTGGGTTTAATGCTTCATTATTAAACAAACGTGTATAAAAAGGCATAGCACTAAAACTACACAGGTTCAAAGACAGCTTTAAGTTTGTTTCCTCATTCATTTGTAAATTGTTAAGTTTTCAGTAACTTATTGTTATTAATATAGTACAAGTGTGAATTGTAAAAATTTTCAGAAAATAAATGAAAATGTTTTAATTAAAGATGATGTTTACTGACAACTTCACTAGCTCCAAATCCTTTTTTGTAACTCCTGTGCAGGTCTAATTTCATTTAATCCTCTTTAGCTCCATTTTACGGAAGAAGAGCTTGAGGCTCAGAGAAGAATCCGCACAGTGATAAAGAACAGTACTAGGGCCGGGTATGTAGCTCAGCAGCACAGTGCCTGCCTGGCAAGCACGAGGTCCTGAGTTCGATTCCCGGCACCTAAATAAATGAATAAAATAAAAAAATAGTTAAGAATAATACTGACATTGAAACTCAGTCTTGACTCCCAGAAGATAAAATCCTTTAGACTATATCAGTTGAAACGCCTACTTTATCATAACCAAAAATGGCACATATATTATATAAAGCAAATTTTAATACTTTCAAATGTAAATTCTCACTAGTGAGTTAAAGAGATTGATTCATTCAGTATTCATAGTGAATTGTTTTTATTTACAATTAAAATGTCATATTATGTTAGCCACTCAAAGGTTAGTTTAGATCTTCAAGTGATTCAAATTACTGTTTAAAATCTTTAGAAGTCCAAACACTTATTTTAATAACCTTTTCTTTTATGTGGGAAACAAACTGAAATTGAACCCAAGTATTCACTACTGCAAACAAGTGTGCATTACCAACAAGCCAACAATATACACACCACAAAAGCCAATGAAATTAATGTTTGTACAGGATGTAACACTAATGAAAGGAAACATTTGACATTTAAAATTTTGGCATAAAATAAAAACTCTAACTTTTTCTAAATTATACTGTCTTGCAATGTTGATTATCTCAACAGTTTCACTAAGAGTATCATGAAAATAAGACATAAAAAGAATAATTTAGAGAGAAAAGGCAAGCAAAATAAAAAGCTTAGCAGGCAGGGATGGTAGAAAATAAAGCACAGGAAAAAGAACATAGCTGGGAATAAAGGAAAGAACAAGTAAAATAGATTGTTATATGGAATAAAAATTTTAATGTAAGTTCAGTTCATTCAGTTAATATCTAAAGTAAAAAAAATCTCATTTTTTAGTTAACAGAATATTATAAACCTTTCAAATATGATGTTATATGAGGTCAACTTTTAAAATGGGGCACAAGATAAACTGAAAAGTTACTACGCAATGTCTTTGGAGTGGAATTCAATATAATATGCCCATCTGAAATAGTTACTGAAATTAACAAATGTAAAGGATTACAGGGCCATGTAATACAGGCCAGTTTATCACTACAGAAAGTACAGATAACTCCACAGTAGCTACATACAATATACTATAAAGAGTCCAAGGGAAAATGTTACATAAAAAGATCTTATTATTTTTCACAGATTAATATATAGATTGGCTTTAAGTACATAGTTCCTAAAATATCTTTTAAATAGCTCAATTATCCCTTTCTTAAAATTTTAATATCTTAAATGGAACTATTAAATATGCTTACATGCAATCTAGAAAATCTTGGGAAATATTTTAAACCCATCTTAGGTAATGTGTTTTACTATCATCTTTGTGAATATCTTCCACTTCTCTTCAAATGTCATTATCAACTTTAAAATATTAAATTCTTTATGAAAGGGAATGTTTGAAAGGCCTGAAAAGAAAAATCGTTAGATTGCTTAACTTTTAAAAGTTCTTTCCGACAAATATAGCATTAGAATTTTCCAGGCTTAAGAATTTAAATGCAGAGTTGAGAGAGAAGACAAGGACAATGTGAGGAAATTTCAGCCTGGGGAGCCAGTGGCACATTATAGATAATTCTACATGGAAAGCACGATGTCTATCATAAGTAATCTAACTTTACTTTCTAAAAATCAGATATGCAATTTAAAAAAAAAGGTTTTACAGAGATGATAGTTAACAGAATGCATTATAAGTGGAATAGGTCACTTAGTACAAGCACTTGTGAATACCGAGTACCAAAAATCACTGACTACCATGATTGTTCTTCAAAAGCCAGTCAGCAAAACAACTTTTACCTAAATTCCAAACTATCAGAAATCTTCATTTTGCTAGTGTATTCTGGCAGAATTTATTCAATCATATGAGATTTCAAAGATTAAAGACAATAGAATGTATCATTTTCATGAGTGAGAATAGGTGATATTTAATATTTTTAAAGAAAAAAAGTCTTCAAGGTATAAAACTTAAGGGATAATTAAATTACAATTAAAATTACCTTAAAATCATTCAGTTCAGGAGCAAAAAAACTCAGTGTGTAATTAAGAAAAATTTCCCCGTCTTTGCTCTAGAAAGCAACTAAAGATATTTAAGAAATTTACTGGTATCAAAAGTCCCTTTAATTTCCAATATTAAAGAAAACATTAAAGCATCTGAACTTATAATTTTCCAAAGAGCTATAAAAGTCAAAAAAGATAGTTATCAAGCAGAAGACAGCTAGAATTTTTTAAAAGTCTACTTTAAGAGCTAAATATATTTCTTGTTTTGAAACATGTATCTTGTAATAATTAAGATAACTGAAGCAGAAATAGAGATTATTAAATCAATTTGGCATATGGTAGAAAATTGATATAAAATCTATAAATATTTTCTCTTCAAAATGTTCAGTTGTTTAATAAAAGAAGAGGACAAGAAATCACTTTGTGAAATAGAAACATATCTTACAAGAGTGTTCCACTTGGCAACTAGACTCAGCAGGACTCCCAGAAATACTAGAGGTTCCCTCAGCTGTCCTTCCTCGCAGCCATGAAACCAAGCAATATGATCCAGAGTTGTCACAGCAAGTGCTTTCTAAAATATCACATAAGGTGTGACAGAGGAGTTCCTTCTGCTCTTCCTCTAAAAACAACCAAAGTAGAAGTTACAATGGCTTCCTTGAAAAATAATTCTGCCATGAACAGCAACACTGACAATGTCTTGATTTAATGACAGCAATCAATCATTTTAAGCGGTAAAATCCATAAACAATAGATTGGAAAATACACTTTGTAAAGCCATGTGCTTTAGGACTAAAGCAGCACCACTTTATATACTGCCATTTACTAGAAAAATTATCCTAAAACATGCAGAATTAAATATGTGAGAAAGAATGAATATGTTATTTGGAATAATCTGATACTGAGCACCCCTAACTTAAATTGCAAATGTAACATTTAGGCCACAATTTTTTTTTATTGCATAACCAAGTACAACACCAAACTTGTTGAGACTTAATTCCCCCCATTTGTGAACTCTCATGTCTTTGATCACCCTGTACCACAAGAATGAGACGATACATCTTCAGCACCTATGAAACCACAAACCACTAAATTTGCAGTGGCCATCGTAATTGTTGCAGAACACATTAAATAACAGAAAAGCTACAGACATTGTATTGCGATAATTTAAGCATTAGAATTTTGTTGAAAATGGCACATTCTGGGGCCGGGGAGATGGCTC